GCCCTAACCAGGGAAGGTCTTTCAGGGTGTGCCAAGCTTTTTCAAAACGGTTTTTGCATGATATAGGGGCACATGCGGGAACCACAGAACCATGGTTTTTCCTGAACGGCCCTCTGAATACCAGAAAAGGGGGTCCCTAGTTCGATTCCTCGTGGTGACAAATTTTTGCATTTCGAGTTGACGTTCCAAAATTCGCGCAAAATGGAGTTAGCATGAATAATTAGTACCATATTCATGATTAGGACCGTCAGTAACCCTTACAAAAAGACTTTGACTTAAAAATTGGTGTAAGAGGTGTGACACCAAGCAGCCCCACTGTGGTGTCACACCTTTTTCACCAGTTTTTTAATCAAAGTCTATTTGTAAGGGGTTACTGACGGTCCTAATCATGAATATGGTACTAATTATTCATGCTAACTCCATTTTGCGCGAATTTTGGAACGTCAACTCGAAATGCAAAAATTTGTCACCACGAGGAATCGAACTAGGGACCCCTTTTCTGGTATTCAGAGGGCCGTTCAGGAAAAATTAACCATGGTTCTGTGGTTCCCGCATGTGCCCCTATATCATGCAAAAGACCGTTTTCAAAAAGCTTGGCACGCCCTGAAAGACCTTCCTGGTTAGTGATGTTATATGGGGCAGCGGCCAGGATGGCTGGAAGCCGTTGCGGTTTTGATGACGTCATCGAACGCCATAGGTGGACTAGACCCCCCAATGTACTGGGGTGTGGTCAGAGCCGTTTCTTGACTCCCTCCATTCTCGTGACCACTGCCTTTAGGTCTCTGAGAGTTCCATTTCTTGAATGTGTTGCAAACTTGCACTCTTGTTACGGTTTTTTCCACGAAGTATGAAGACATGTTTTTCTAAGAGAACTTTTGCGGCTCTACTTTACGCTTTGTTCTTTCAGGGAATGTAAATTGGCGCGTGAAAATCCAGCAGCTTTGAATGACCAGGCATGTGACGATTTGTACAAATACAGCATGGAACAATGCGGAATCACCGAATAACCAGTTTTAGTTACCATTTTTTTTTGTAGAGTACTCAGCACTGAGTAGCCATTCATACATAATTTCTTTTGCTTTCATATTGATTTTCTTGGTGTTGAGAATTTCCTGACATCTGTGTACATGTATGTAATTATATTGTAATTGTCGAAATGTAAAGTCGTTTTCTACTCTGAACATTACGTGTGTATGGAAAATAAAATGGCCTAAAGGAACACGCAAAACTCAGTTGTAGTGGGTACAACAGGTCAATGGCGCGATAGTCGTGCTCAGTACTTTACGGGATCGACGACATTACAGTCATCTTACCGTGAACGATGGGTAATTAACAGCTCAAAGCACTGGTCGCAAACAATTT